GCGTCCATGGCTCACGGGCCCAGCCGCTCCGCGGCATGTGGGATCTTCCCGGACCGGGGCACGAACCCGCGTCCCCTGAATCGGCAGGTGGATTCTCAACCACTGCGCCACCAGGGAAGCCCTGTAAAATTTTTTAAACATTTTTATTCCATGTAATTTAAGATAGGGTGGACCTTCACATTTTGGGCCTTTAGTTTTTAAACTGGACATAGTTTTTAGCATAGCCTTAAGATTTATTGATGAGAATTACAGTGTTTAACCTTATATAATGACCATTTTAAGTCTTTTCCAAAGGTCAGTGTTTTCAGATATACTAACATATAAATAATGAATTTGTTGCCTTAGTTAGGTTTCACTTTGTCTTGCATACTTATTAATAATAGCCAGGAGTACCAGTTTAAAAAAAATAATTTTCTCTCATTACAAGAAAGAAAACTTGGAATTTTTTCCCTTTTAAAAATACAGAAAGTCATGTTTACAGAATTCCAAGAAGTTGGAATGAAGAAGTTAATGAAGAAGGGCATCAGGTGTATTTCTTAATGTGGTTGTTCTACCCTATTTTCCGACAACCATTTCTCTTCCTGGAGAAGAAGTGTGATTCATTTAATGTAAAATATGTTTTTTATTTCAGTGGTGCCTACTCTATAACTACTATCATTTATTTTAACTAAATCTCTTAACTTAGATTTTACACTGTGGCAGAAAATAGTTTGTTTAGCATAGGAAAAGCTACAAAATTAATGTTTTCCTTCCTATCTTCCTTTTAATTCTTACTCAAACTTTTTTTTCTTTTGCTTGACTATTCTTTCTCCAACCTTAAGTCTTTTTTTTTGTTTTTTATTGAAAAACTGAGAGATATTATTGAGATACTATTCACATAACTTAAAATTCCCCATTTTAAAGTATGCCGTTTAGTGGCTTTTATCATATTCATAAGGCTGTGCAGCCATCACCACTAATTCCAGAACATTTCCATCACCCCAAAACAACCCCATACCTATTGGTAGTCAGTCCTATGTCCCCCTAACTGTGGCAACCACTAATCTACTTTCTGCCTTTATGGATTTATCTATCCTGGACATTTCATATAAATAGCATCATACAATATGGGGCCTTTTGTATCTGGCTTTGTTCACTAAGAATAATGCTTCCAAGGCTCATACATGTTGTAGCATGTAAACTTCCTTTCTATGGCTGAATGATACTCCATTGTATGAACGTTTGAGTTTTTTGTTTGTTTTTTAATAAATTTATTTATTTATTTGTGGCTGCGTTGGGTCTTTGTTGCTGTGCATGGGCTTTCTCTAGTTGCAGCGAGCGGGAGCTGCTCTTCGTTGTGGTACGCAGGCTTCTCCTTGTGGTGGCTTCTCTTGTTGCGGAGCATGGGCTCTAGGCGTGCAGGCTTCAGTAGTTGTGGCACGTGGGCTCAGTAGTTGTGGCTCTTGGGCTCTAGAGCGCAGGTTCAGTAGTTGTGGCGCACGGGCTTAGTTGCTCCGCAGCATGTGGGATCTTCTCAGACCAGGGATTGAACCTGTGTCCCCTGCATTGGCAGGCGGATTCCTAACTTCTGCACCACCAGGGAAGTCCCAAGTTTTTTGTTTTTTTGGTTTTTTAAATCTTTGGCTGCGTTGGGTCTTTGTTGCTGTGTGCGGGCTTTCTCCAGTTGTGGTGAGTAGGGGCTACTCTTCGTTGGGGTGCGCGGGCTTCTCCTTGCGGTGGCTTCTCTTGATCTGGAGCATGGGCTCTAGGCATGTAGGCTTCAGTAGTTGTGGCACGTGGGCTCAGTAGTTGTGGCACGTGGCACGCAGGCTCAGTAGTTGCGGCTCACAGGCTCTAGAGCGCAGGCTCTGTAGTGGTGTGTGGGCTTAGTTGCTCCACAGCATGTGGGATCTTCCTGGACCAGGGATCGAACCCATGTCCCCTGCATTGGCAGGCGGATTCTTATCCACTGTGCCACCAGGGAAGTCCTGGACATTTGAGTTTTTCCCTACTTTTTTTTAAATTGAAGTATAGTTGATTTACAACTATACAAGCATAGTGTACAAGCATAGCGGTTCAATTATTTATTTTTTTTAGATTATATTCCATTATAGGTTATTACAAGATATTGAGTATAATTCCCTGTGCTATACAGTAAATCCACATTGCTTATCTATTTTATGTATAGTAGTTTGTATCCGTTAATCCCATACTCCTAATTTGTTCCTTCCCACCTCCCCTTTGGTAAGCATACGTTTGTTTTCTATGTCTGTGAGTCGATCTTTATTTTATATATAGATTCATTTGTATTAGTTTTTAAATTCTACATATAAGTGATATCATATAGTATTTGTCTGACTGATTTCACTAAGCATAATATTCTCTAGGTTTATCCATGTTGCTACAGATGGCAATGTTTCATTCTTTTTTATAGCTGGGTAATATTCTATTATATATATATACCACATCTTCTTTATCCATTCCTCTGTCAGTGGGCATTTAGGTTGCTTCCACGTCTTGGCTATTGTAAATAGTGCTGCAGTGAATATTGGGGTGCATGTATCTTTTTGAATTAGAGTTTTCGTTATTTTCCAGATACATACCCAGGAGTGGGATTGCTGGATTGTATGGTAGCGCTATTTTTAGTTTTTTAAGGAACCTCCATACTGTTTTCCACGATGGCTGCACCAATTTACATTCCCACCAACAGTGTAGGAGGGTTCCCTTTTCCCCACACCCTCTCCAGCATTTATTATCTATAGACTTTTTTTTTTTTTTCGGTATGCGGGCCTCTCACTGTTGTGGCCTCTCCCGTTGCGGAGCACAGGCTCCGGACGCACAGGCTCAGCGGCCATGGCTCACGGGCCCATCCGCTCCATGGCACGTGGGATCCTCCCAGACCAGGGCATGAACCCGTGTCCCCTGCATCGGCAGGCGGACTCTCAACCACTGCGCCACCAGGGAAGCCCATTTATAGACTTTTTGATGATGGCCATTCTGACCAGTGTGAAGTGATACCTCATTGTAGTTTTAATTTGCATTTCTCTAATAGTCAGTGATGTTGCGCATCTTTTCATCTGCCTGTTGGCCATCTGTATGTCTTCTTTGGAGAAATGTCTGTTTAGATATTCTGCCCATTTTTTTAAAATATTTATTTGTTTGGCTACATCAGGTCTTAGTTGCATCACATAGGATCTTCCTTGCACCGTGTGGGATCTTTCGTTGAGGCATGTGGGCTTCTTTCTAGTTGTGGTGCACAGGCTCAGTAGTTGCAGCGTGCGGGCTGTCTGGTTGTGGCGCACAGGCTCTAGAATGTGCAGGCTTAGTTGCCCCACAGCATGTGAGATCTTAGTACCCCAACCAGGGATCGAACCCACATCCCCTGCACTGGAAGGCAGATTCTTAACCCCTGGATCACCAGGGAAGTCCCTTCTGCCCTTTTTTTTTTTTTTTTTGGTTGCACTGGGTCTTAGTTGCAGCAGGCAGGCTCCTTAGTTGCGGCATGCGGACTCTTAGTTGCATCATGCATGTGATATCTAGTTCCCTGACCAGAGATCGAACCCTGGGCCCCCTGCGTTGGGAACGTGGAGTCTTTTTTTTTAATTTTTTTAAAAAATTAATTTATTTTATTTATTTATTTTTGACTGCATTGGGTCTTCGTTGCTGTGCATCGGCTTTCTTCTCTTGTTGCGGAGCATGGACTCTAGGCGTGCGGGCTTCAGTAGTTGTGGCACGCAGCGGGAATGCAGAGTCTTAACCACTGCGCCACCAGGGAAGTCCCTGCCCATTTTCTAATTGGGTTGTTTTTGGTTGTTGTTATTGAGTTGTATGTTCTGTTTGTTCTGACTGGGTTATTTCCATTATTCTGTCTTCCAGATCACTTATTTTTGTGTCATTTAGTCAGCTGTTCATTGCTTCCAGATTGCTTTTTTTTTTTTTAGAATGTTTTTTTTTTATTTTATTTACTTATTTATTTTGGGCTGCATTGGGTCTTTGTTGTGGTGCACGGGCTTCTCATTGTGGTGGCTTCTCTTGTTGCGGAGCACAGGCTGTAGGTGCGCGGGTCTCAGCAGCCGTGGCGCACAGGCCCAGTTGCTCCGTGGTATGTGGGATCTTCCCAGACCAGGGATCGAACCCGTGTCCCCTGCATTGGCAGGCGGATTCTTAACTACTGCGCCACCAGGGAAGTCCCAGATTGCTTTTTATCTCAGCAATTGAATTATCTGTTTTTGACTAGTTCATTTTTATAGTTTCTAGATCTTTGTAACAGTGACCTGCATTTCTATTGATAATCTTTCTTAATTCAATTAGCATTTTTATTACCACCTTTGAACTCAGGATCTGCAGGGATGGGGCAACTACCAGTGCAAGGCTCTCTTCTCCCTGATTGTTGGCAGGCCAGCAAATGTGCACTCCTCCCAAGTAGAATCTATTCTTCTCCAGCCCTTCATACTGTCATAGTGGTTCTCCCAGCAGCCAACAGGGCTTTTCTCCTTTGCACAGACCCCCAGGACTGGGATGCCCAGATTGTTGCTTGACCTGCTTGTTCCCCAGGGTGAGAGTCTGCCCGTTCAGACGTTCTCTTCCTTCCAGATCCCTCCCAAGGTTTCAGATCCTGACCTGATGCTTTTTTTCCATCCTACTCCATTAAGTGGAGATCTCTCTTGTAGCTTTGGTTGTATAGGAGTTGTTCTGTCAGTTTCCAGCAGTTTTCCCTGAGAATTGTTCCACTTGTAGATGTGTTTTTGATGTGTTTGTTGGGGAGGGTGAGCTCCACGTCATGCTACTCTGCCATCTTCATCCCCCTCTCGGATTTTTCCTACTTTTTGACTATTACGAATAATGCTGCTTTAACATTGGTGTACAAGTTTTTGTGTGGACATATGTTTTCATTTCTAATATATGTAGGAATGAAATTGCTAGATCCCATGGTAGTTCTGTGTTTAACTTTTTGAAGCCTAAGTTGTTCTTGTCCTTTGTCGTTAACCTCTATCTATGTTTTTCCTCCATTAGGTACTAGAATTGTAACAGGGAGAATATCATCCATTAGTACTTGTTTGTATATTAAAAAATGAAAACTTTTATCTGAAACAGTGATTTTCAACCTTGGCCACACATTGGAAACCTGGAGAGTTTTAAAACTGACTGATGCCTGGCTCCCACCCGCAGAGATTCTTATTTAATTAGTGTGGTCTGCAGCCTTGGCCTCTAAATTTATAAAGGCTCATCAGGTGATTATAATGTGTAACCAAGGCTGGGAATTACTGCTCTAAAATGTGCTTTAAGCATGGAGTTAGACTTGCAACTTGGAAAAGGCAGAAGGCAAGGTGTTGCAGGAAAGAAATTGGGACTTGAGAGGATGGTCATGTCCCAGCTCTCCGGTGAGTCGCTGGGAGGGCCGCTGAATGTGGGTTCTTGGCTTGGCGTAGGAAAGAATTCAAGAGCGCCATAGTAAAGTGAAAGAAGGTTTATTCAGGGAGAGATACACACTCCGTAGACAGAGTGTGGGCCATCTCAGAAGGCGAGGGCCCCAAGATACGGGGTTGTCAATTTTTATAGGAGTGGGTAATTTCATAGGCTAATGAGTGGGATGATTATTCCAGCTATTTTGGGGAAGGGGCAGGGATTTCCAGGAATTGGGCCACCACCCACTTTTTGGCCTTTTATGGTCAGCCTCGGAACTGTCATGGCACCTGTGGGTGTGTCATTTAGCTTGCTGATGTATTATGATGAGCATATACTGAGGCCCGAGGTCTAGTGGAAGTCGACTCTTCCGCCATCTTGGACCTAACCAGTTTATGTAACCAGTTTATGTTGTATCCTCAGTGGCAATGCCATTCTTTTAAAGGTTGTGCCCAGCCCCCTTCCTGTCTCACAGGGACTTCATGTGTATACAGGTTGACCCTTGAACAAGGTGGGTTTAAACTGGGTGGATACACTTACACTCAGATTTTTTTTTTTTCCAATAAATACCTACTACAGTACTAACGTAACCCCTGCATTGTTAAAGGGTCAACTGTACTTTTCTTTGGGCAAAGCTGCTACAGATTTGAATGACTTGATAATGTGGTTCTCTACTCTCCATCTAATATGCATAACAGTAATTGAAAACACATGCTCTAGAGCAATCTTCCTGGGTTTCATCCTGGCTCTACTTGTAAAAGTTGCTTAACCTCACTGTTCCTTAGTTTGTACATCTGTAAAATGTGGGATTAAACAGTGTTTGCTAGGGTCGAATGTTTGTATGTCCTCCCCTCCAAAATTCATATGTTAAAATCGTAATGCTGGATGTGATGGTGTTAGTAGGTAGAGCCTTTGGGCGGTGTTTAAACCATGAGGGTGGAACCCTCATTAATGGGATTAGTTTCTTATAAAAGAGATTCCAGAGAGCTCCTAGCCCCTCCCACCATGTGAGGGTGCTTTAAATCATAAAGAGGGCCCTTACAAGAAGTTTTTAAATAGCTAGTCTGTGGTATTTTGTTATTGAAGCCTTAATGGACTAAGACAGTGTTGTAAGGATTAAATGAATGTGTGTGTGTATTTATTTTTTTTTAATATTTCTTAGAATAGTGTCTTGCATGTATAATGCTTTATAAATATCAACTATTGTAGTTAGAGTCCTCTCAATCCCCTACCCACTATCTAGACTTTCAAAATGGTGAGTAAAGATTATTAAAAAGTTAGCTGCCATTTAAAATATTTTTTGTATATTTTTAAATTTTTTCATAATAAAAAGTTGAGAAAGTAGCATAATGACCCTCCATGTATTATTCACCCAGCTTCAGCAATCATGGCCATTCTTTGCATCCTCTATACTCCCACCCATTTCCCCACCTTTGTTGTTTGTTTGTTTTTTCACCACATAGCATATGGGATCTTAGCTCCCCGACCAGGGATCGGACCTGCTCCCCCTGCAGTGGAAGTGTGGAGTCTTAACCACTGGACCACCAGGGAAGTCCCAACTTCAAATTATTTTAAAGCAAATCCTACAGACTTTCATTTATTTATTAATTAATTTATGTATTTATTTTTGGTTGTGCCAGGTCTTAGATGCGGCCAGCAGGCTCCTTAGTTGCGGCATGCGAACTTTAGTTGTGGCATGCATGTGGGATCTAGTTCCCTGACCAGGGATCAAACCTGGGACCCCTGCATTGGGAGCACGGAGTCTTAACTGCTGCGCCAACTGGGAAGTCCCAGACTTTCATTTAAATGGCTTCTCATTTCATACATTTTCTTTGAATCCCTGATGGTGCTGAATGTCAGTAGAAAAGTTAGAGAACAAGAATACACTGGAGGTGAGGGGCTATGACAGAAGATTGACTGTACTCCAGGATGGAGCTGTTGTAAATTCTCAATTACAGCTACGTTCTCTGCTTCTTTATGGGATCCTCTTTTATCCACTTCTTAGTATTTTGCCATGAAAGTACTAAGAACTTATTCAGACTCAGAACCCGCTCCTGCCACATCATGTGAAGTATGTTTCCCAGCCAAACCGTAGCAAGGGCCTTTTCTCTAAACAACTTTTAGCAGTTTAGGACAAATTTTTCCACTGTATTATTTCTATACTTTTATGGTTGGGGTGGGTGATCATCAATTAGTGGATAGAAATGTTTCCACAGATTTACACTTACTGTGAATATGTGCCAACTGGAAGATCTGTCTCAGGAAAGGCTAAGAATTGATATTATGCTTATGAATTAGGGTCTAGAATTTATTCCTTGTCCTTGTTTTCTCCAATCTTATAAATCTCTTTTCTTGGTTGTCATAAACTATCACATTTTACAATAAAAATAAATGTATGAAATTTAAAAGTAGTACATTACAAACTATTTGGAAAATTGGAAAAAGAAGAAAAATCACTCTTAATTCTACTATACCACAACAGCCATTGGTTATATTTTGATGATTCCCTTCCAGACTTTTTTCTACCCATATTTTAAACCTCCGGTAATTATAGCACATATTTGATTTTTTTTTTAAGTCTTCTTTGTTCACTGTATAATATACTAACCTTCATAACCTAAGCCCCTTTGTGGTTTGTGTTTGCCGGCTTTAGCCAGAAAAAAAGAATCATTTAAGGGCAGTCTTTAATTTTTTAGACATGCAAATTTATATATATTTGTCTAGCTAAGTATCTATCAACCGGAAACTTGGTTTAGTTCTCCATCTTGATGGATTTTTTTTTTTTTTTTGATAACAAGCAGTGAAGTTTAATTAACCAGTACTGAAAGGTGACCTTCATGGACCAGCATCACTTCCATGAGCTGACTGATTAAGTGGGAGAACCACAGGCCTCATGACTGGCATGAAAATAGTATAGCCTATACAGTATCGTCAACTTTAATATTCAAATTTAGTCTTCAGATGGAACAGTTAATTAGTAGCGATTATTTTCAGTGGCATTTACATTGATATCACTCATATTTAACGTTGTTACTTTACTTTCGTTTTGCCTACTATTTCTGCTTCCCTAATGATATTGAAATAATGGCTAACACTTGAACATCAGCTATGCTTCAGGCACTGTGCTAAGCACTTTGTATGGATCATCTTTTTTAATCTTCACCAAAAAACCCTTTGAAATAGATCTGTTATCTCTAGCTTACAAATGCAGACACTGAACTTTAGCGGGGATAGGTAGCTTGCCCAGGGTCACACAACAAATACATTTTTGAGGCCAGAATTTGGATGCTGGAGCTCCCACTACTCACCACTGTGCTAGCCTGCTCTGAACAGAAGTTTCTACTTGTTGTAAATACATTAGTTACCATGAAAGTCTAATCAAAATATGCCAAAGAGAACTGCACATTTTATCAAACTGTTAAAGAGTACAGTAATAACTGTATGAGTGTAACTCATAGAGCAACTTACATTGTGATTAACTATGTTTTAAGAGAAGGAATAGGCAGGAAACTAATGGTAGAATATTTTAATGCAAAATCCTTGCCTTCCAGTATAAACTGAGTTAATACTTTATAAAATCATTCTTATATTGGTCTTTTCAGGAATCAGTGATTTAAAGTGCTATTTCTTCATTACTTCCTGAGTATCCCTCCATTTTTATCAATGAAGACATGTGGATCTCCTGTTGATTAAGTTCTGAGTCCTTTTTACTTTGTATTCCTTCTTCCCAGTAGTATTATTTTCATTTTCTAAATTAATGTAGATATTTTTCAGGTTCTAAATTATTATAAAACAGATGAAAGCCATGATTACTCTGGTCTTTCTAGTTCTTCCTTCAGTTTAACCATCTTTGAGTCTGTGGAAGAGATAAGATTTCATGGTATTACTATAGAAAGTATCTGAAATTTTGAAATGAGCCATCAGGTAGAGTGCTTAGCCTATATTCTTATATTCAACAGTTCTCATATCTTATTAAGGGGTGGTACATCCAACAGTAAGACTATTTACCAGACCATGAGCTAGCCTTGGTTTCAGAGTTGATCCAGCCTTGAATAATAAATCTGCTCTTTACTCAGTCACCTTGGGCAAATTACTTACTTAAACTGAGCCTTAGTTTCCCCACCTATAAAGTGGTATAACAGACATAATGACATATATGAATAACTTAGATGGTTATATGATACATAGTACATGCTCAGTGAGCATTTCTTCCTCCCCTCTCCCCCCAAGGTTTATAATAGAAAGGAAATTAAGAAAGATAACTAGGAGTCTGCTAGTAAGCCCAAATGAACCGTAGTAAGGGAAGTAGGGTGTAAAGGCAATGAGAAAAATCTTACATTTTCATCTCAAAGGCGCACATGTAGCGTAAGTTCCCAGGAGCATTGGGAAAATGACACAGATATTTAATCTATTGGGTTATACCTAAGAAAAGTAAGTTTAATGGGATCTTTGTGTCAAGTGATGTTTCATTTTTCCTTCCCCGCCCCTTCTCTAATTCTCTTTACTGTACCATTCTGGATAGCCTTTCCTGACTGCATGAGAAAAACTTCTGGAGATAATAAATACGAGTAAAGCTATATAGCTAGTTCTAGCTTGCACCCTGCCTGACACTTCTGAGCAGTTTAGTAAAGGCTAAAAGAGCCTAGGGAGTATTATTCTTTGTCTCTCTTTGGCCTTCCCCTTACAATTCTGCTTTGTCTCACTTACTCCCATTTACTATAATAATGTGCTCAACATCCTCAAAAATCCAGAGTAGAGAAGTCTTAGGCAGCTCTGTCCTGATATCAGCATGCCAAACATGTGAGAACTTTACAGAATTCTGTTTCTTGTTTGTGTGTCATCTGCTCAGGGAGGGAAAAAAAGAAGTACTAGGCAGCACTTTGAGTTCACTTAAAAGGTGTGTCCTAAAACATGGCACCACTGCTATGCCAGGAGTGACTCTTCACATCTGCTTCCCAGCTATATCTGCCTTTTTTTTTTTTAATCTGCCTTTTTGATAATTAAAGGCAAGGACTCTTGGAATCTTTAAGTTTGACAGAGGTCAGTTTTACATTCAAGCCTCTCTTTGAACCTACATGGAGTTTTGCTCATATTTACTAGGAGAATAACAAATACTGACTTGTAATTGGCAAGAATCACTTCTAGGAGTAGAATTACAAAATTATACAGTTTGAGAGATCTGAGCTTCCTTACTCCCAAAACATCTTCCTACCCATAGTATACTATATCGGAAAACCTAATCGGGATGTCATTTCCAGATACTAACTGATTAGCGTGTATTGCTTTTCTTAACACTTTCTGCTCTGTGGGGCATTTAGGAGTTTCACGTGAGAGGGATAGATAACTTTGGAGTGTACCGCCTAGGAAGGACCGGCTTTGAAAGGAACCTTGTGTGGGAAAGCACGAGACTGCCTGGGCAGGCAGATGGGCATATTATAGAAAGGAAAAGCATACAAAAACGGTGGGAGGGTACAAAGCAACTTCCTTTTCTTTTTATAATTACAACTACGAAAGATTGACAGAAGAGAAACTGTAGCATAATCATATGTGTGATTAAAGCTAAAGTCTCATAAACAATTAGGAAGGTAATAAAGCATGTGGTTCTGTTTATGCTTATATCTAATGAATGATCAGTTCTTAATTCAAGAGAGGCCTTTATATCTTGATTATGTATCTTAGTATATGAACCTTTTGGCAGAGCCACAGTCCTACTATGGCATACAAGCTATGAGATTAAATTTGCAACTTTTGGCAATTTAATAATTTTAATAACAGTAGTTTTATGAACATTAATGTCTTTAATCAAGGCTCAAAATCTTAATTAAATCCTGAAATGGTTAGCAATGACAGTAGAATTATAAACAGGGCTCTAAATGTAATGCCTTCCTGTCCTAGGAATGGGATATTGTCGCTTTTTGTTTAGATGGTTCTAATAAAAGTATTGGTTAGCTACGGATGTGACTAAAAATATCCGTATGTGACCAGCAGGCCATTCTAAATCATACACATGTAATGGCAATTTTTGGTTTGTGGTTCTAGTGTTGATTTGAAGGCTTTGTGCTACTATTACATGTAGCTTTGTTTCTAAGATCCACTTAAATGAGCGTACATCTTGTTTTTCTACTTATTTGTTCACTCAGCACACATTTCCTGGGGTACGAACTGTCAGATCCTGTTAGGTGTTAGAGGTACAAAGATATAATAAAATCCTTTCCCTCCAAGTGTTCAGTACTAAGAAGTTAACAAAGTTCCCTGCTCGTCAGTGAGTGTACTCCATGGCAGGATTTCTCAACCTGAGCACTTTGACATTTTGGACCAGATAATTCTTGTTGTGGGACTGTCCCAAGGAGCATTATAGGAGGTTTAGCAGTATCCCTGGCCTCTACCAACTAGATGCCAGTAACATTACTCCTCCTTACCACCCCCCAACTCCTGGCAATCAAAAAATTCTCCAGACATTGCCACATGTCCCCTGGGGATAAATCCAGAATGTGAACCACACTTTTATATGTGTCATTGACAAAGGGCTTTGGTAAAATTGGTTTTCAAATTTTTAATAACGAAGCTAGCAAATGTAATAAAAAGAAAACAACCTAGGTAAGTCACACAGTGCTTATTACTCCACATGACTGCTCAAAGAAGAATACTATACAACAGTGTATCGCTGTTAATATTAGAGGGCAGGACTCTTGGAATCTTCACCTATTAAAAGTTTTATGTTTCAGTTTGAATGTCTGTGAGATCACTTCCTGAGTTACTATGAGTTACTAAGTTACTAAGTATAGAAGAATAATTGTACAGTTTCTTAGGGACTTCACTAAAATAACAGACCATACAGTAATTGGAAAGGGAGAGTCTACTCTTAATAAAAACTAGGTCTTTTCTGAGCTCTCTGTATCAGCATTATCCTTTTCTTGTTAAGAATGAAAGTATTTCATTTTTTCCAATGAGTAGCCTGGACAACTGGCACATTTTTAGAATGTTTCCTGTGCTTTGCAGGCACAGGACTTTGAATTTGTTACTTTACTAATGGAACACTACCTAACTTCAACTTCTTCACCTTATTGCTTTTCCATATTCAGACAATGTACCAAGAACATTGTACAACCAGGAATTCATTTTAATAGTTTCTTGAAGCTTGTCTTCTAGTAATGCCTTCCTTCTCAAAGTAGAAGGACCACTTTCCTATTAGAAACAGTGCTTCACTGGAAGTCCTGAAACCTGAGTTTTAGTTTCACCTCTGTTAATAACTAGCATTTAAGCATTTACTTACCATCTCTCAGCCTTAATTTCTTCACCTGAAATATAGATAGATAGGTAGATAGATAGATAGACAGACAGATAAATAGATAGGGATAAAGATAGGCTATTTTACTGTGTTTTCCAAGTATCCTAAATTCCATAAATATACACTCTTTGCTCAAACAAACTTGTTTTTTGTGTCCTTATTCTTACAGGATATCCACATTTCAGTTTCTCCACCTATCAAGTTTTAATTCATCATGGATAATCTGTCAGCAGAAGAAATTCAGCTGAGGGCTAACCAGGTTACTGATGAGGTAAAGGTTTTACTTGGAATAAGTAATAATTCTCTTTCAGTTTTCACAGTGGAAGGATGAGAGGACCTTCTTAGAAGACCATTTTGGCTTCTTCCTAGTCTCTTTATATCAAAGAATGCATTTGCTCTAGAGCACCATTACTAGCTCCTTATTTTTTCAACTCATCAAAAAGCTAAATAAGTGAAAACAATTTGTATGTTTTTTTTGGTTTTTTTTTAGTCATTACTGAACAGTAACTTACAACAAAGATATTCTAGATTTGAGGAATTCTGACATTTAATTTTAACAGAATTTTCTAATATCTGTGTAATATACCTAGATTTCTGCTTACATTAAATTTTTTATAAATCCCATTAACTTCACCTTCCAAATTTTCTCTTAAGGACCATCTGGTAGGAAGAAAGTAACCAAAATTATAGTAATAAGCTTTCTTTTTTTGTTTTAAAGGGAGAGGTGGGTGGGCTGGCAATCTTTAAAAATAGAGTAGCATTATGAATATGGCCTGTGTTCAGATTTTGGGCGGGGGGGGGAGGGGAATTGTTGTAGAATGCTGAAACTCTGTGTTTTTTCCTAGTCTCTGGAAAGTACAAGGAGAATCCTGGGTTTAGCCATTGAGGTAAGAAGGTGTTTAATCATCAAGTTAAGTATAGTAACTGTATAGAAGGGATTCTGATAGCACAGGCTGGAATTACTGTTAAGAATCAGAAGGGTATTGTATCAATAAGCTTTATTATTTGAAACCAGCAATTGCTGAAATTGTCAAACCATGCAGTAATGGGCCTTTTTGTTTTTCTAATTGATAGTATTGGAATATGACAAGGAAGACAATTCACCATGAGTCTGCGACTTCTTTTGGGGGGTTAATATGTTAAAGTGTGTTGGTTTGGGGAGATTAGTTTCCTCTGTAGCTCTAGTCCTCTGCGAAACTTAAGTTTCTAATGATTCTCTCTTGCTGTTTTTCAGACTTTGTAGGTTCTGTTTCTGTTTTGTTTTTATTTTGCTGTGCTCTCAGCGTTTTTCCCTTCTTTTAGTCTCAGGATGCAGGAATCAAGACTATCACTACGCTGGATGAACAAGGGGGTGAGTTGCAGTCATTGGCAGAAATTCTTGATTTGATTTAGGATGCCAGAAAGCCTTTTCAGATCAGCCGTGTATAAAATTAATTAAGCCTTTGGGAGTACCTTCCCTTTGTAAGATAAGAGTGACATTTTACTTCTTTTCTGCTGATTTGAATTATATCATGTTTGTTGCCTATTTGAGGTGGGGGCCACAATACCCCATTGTATACCAAGTATTTATTATGTAGCAGGGCTTATTGTGTGTATTGGTCGTACATGAACTAGACATTATGATATTTTTGCATTATTTTCAGAAATCAAGTTAAGTCCTTAAATAGGTCAGATTCAGGCAGGCTTGGAAACATTCTGTTTGATTTGGCCCTGAGCAATCTGGTCTAGTTTTTATTAATCTTATGACAGCCTTCAGGTTTTGAGCCTATCCAATAATAGAAATGCTGGGGATCTGGTCTAGTCACAGTACACTTAATTTGGTTGCAGAAGTGATGTCTAAACCAATCCTCACATGCTCCTATTATACAAATTTCTTTAGAACAAATCTTTCCACAGTCAGAGGCCAGGTGCCCCCGGATCAGTATGTGAAAGACTATTTTCATTCTGGACAGTCTGTAATACCATCTGGCCCTGATACAGTCACTGTGATGGGTTATTGGTGGATTCGAGGTTAAAGTTTTTGCTGTTCCATCATAATGGCGTTTTCTGGTTGGCACCGTGAATGTAAGACAAAATGTAACTTCCACAACTTATTCTTAGAACAACTAAAACGCATAGAAGAAGGCATGGACCAAATAAACAAAGACATGAGAGAAGCAGAGAAGACTTTAACAGAACTAAACAAGTGCTGTGGCCTTTGTGTATGCCCCTGTAATAGGTGAGTTGATAAATCAAGACCTTTTTCAAATAAATCTAAAGTGAGAGCACACCCCTCCCCACCTCCCAATAAGTATGACAGGGCCTAAATAAGGAGCTTTGTTAGATCAAGTGAAGCTGTTTCTCCTTCAGTCAGATCAAACTTTTTGTATAAATGGGCATGTTCACTGCAAACCATCGCTTAAATTTGATCAATCTTTCGATCAAGTCCCAATTTCATTTTTTAATAATACAAGAAAAGGTTAGGAAATATACATCTGGGTAATACAGAGCAGGATAGAATTAGTGTCTTTTCCCTTCAAATAAGGAGAATTAACAAAATATATGTTCTGTGGTAGGCACATGAGGGATGGTCAAGGGAATAAAGGACTTGAATCCTGGCTTCAAAAGACTTACCATGTGGTTGGCTATATGAGAGAGAATAGAAAAAGTAAGAACTATATAAATCTAGGGCTAGATCATGTGATATCAACTGAGGCTAAAGGTATAGAACTGATAAAGGTTGGTTTGGAGACCATCTTATAGGAGAGATAGGACTTGAGATGGGCTCTGAATGACTAGAAAGATCTGGATGGACATGAAAGAAGTGGGAAGACATTTCCTGTGGAAGATTTAATTTAAGTAAAGATTACAGAGGAGCTTGACTTAACTGTACTACATGATTCACATAGATGAGAAGTGGAAAATAATACATAAGTAGGCAATAGAGGAACTTTGAATGCCAGCCTAAGGGGTTGATTGATTGGAGTGGAGTATATAACCGCACACCAAGAAACTAGTTAGGAACCTTTTGTAAACTAGGCCTGTGGGGTATAACTTTATCATCAAGATTAGAGAGAAAAATGTAAGTCAAAAAAATTCACGTTAAATCAACTGATTATGTATCAAACATGAAGAGGGAAACATTAAAGAAGACTCTGAAGATTTGAGGCCTCTAGTAAACTAGGAGATGAAAAGTCTTCAAATTATTTGTGTATAGTGTATGAGATTATACTTGACAGAAAGGAATTCATTCTTTTTAGTGACTTTATTATTAACATTTAAATTCTCTACTTAATCTTGGATAATACAAACTCCATGGTGTTGACAAAAGTACATGTATTCAGACAAAGATGAGGAGTCATTAACAAAGCAACTTTGAACTTTACCTTTGGCTGAAATGACGTTGTCTGGAGATTGAGTGACTATCCTTTCTGCTGAGAGTATTCATTTTTAAAGAGCTTTGTAAGCATTACTGCTTCCATCCAGTTGTCTCAACTGGTGTGGTAAACCAAAAATGAGATACGAAGGTTTACAGACTCTCAGCATTTGTTTACTCCTCAAAGGAGTTAGGAATGGAGGAGGTTTTGCTCTGTCATGCTTTCAGATAAGTGTTTCATGTGACAGCATTCTCTGTGCCATTTCTACTGGAGAAAATAGAGTTAAATTACTTGTTGGTCAACTTTAGTGTTTGTTTTGGGCATAAGAAGCTAAGAAAGACAAGTCTGTTGACCTGTTTAGACCTTGGTTGACTCTCCAAAAGTGCATATTTTAATAACTATGACCTGCGAATCAGGGTTTAGCAGATTACTTTCAGCAAACAAGTTAGAAATGTACAGATTTTTTTTAATCTAAACTCTTTTTTTAACTATGTTTCACGAACTTACTTGCACTTTTCTCCTATGTTCTATGTACCCTCTTGGAAGAGTTCAGGGGAAAAGGTAAATGAACTTCATTGAGATACATATTAAGAGAAGAGCAAGGAAGAGGAAGTCCTCCCTAGAACCTAGAGCAAATTATCTCTGATGAGTAGGAAGAGCAGGGAATAAGGTGGTCTGATATCATAAAAAGTGGGAAATGGAGCTACATAAGTATTAATTTTATTTTTCTTTGTGTACCCAGACAAGCATAGGCAGGATTTTCTTGGACAGTCTGAGAGAGAAGGTAGTATGGTCCTGAGTATGGTCCTGAAGCAGTCCGTCGTCAGCCTCTAACCTCAGCAGAGCCCTTTCCTAGTGGGTCAAGAGAAGAAAGCACTTCGTAACAGTTGGAATCAAGGGGCTCCTATAACAGAACACTTGTTCTCTGAAGAGGAGAGAGTAGTGTTTCACTTTAAATATTCCGATTTTAATTGCCTCCCTTCCATCCATCTCTCCTTTACACCATTGAGTCCTTGCCCTCTATGGTATCTCTTGTCCTCAGCTTTATCTATTTTCACTCCTGCCAGGGGCGTGATCTTTCTAAGCTTAATCTGCTAATCTGTGTTTCAGTTAGGCTTATCATATAAATAGCCATAACATGAGCTTCTGAAAGGCGGAGACGGTATCTTAGTCTTCTGTATAAAGCTAGTACTAATTCTGGTACTAGTAATAACAACTCAGGTCCACAGTCTCCTATCTGCCATTTAGAAATCTAAAAAACTCTGAGAGCCAAAGGTTTGTTTTTTTCGGAATGTAGTGCCACAACTTATTAATTAGGCTACGAGATGTAACCTGAACTGAAGCTATTTAATAGTCTTTATTATACTTAGCATAAATGTTAATCTGTTTCACTGCAGAAATATTGATGTATGTGATTGTGTGGTACTGCTCAAAATGTCTCACATCCAAAGGTTTGCATGAGAGTTGTGAGCCTGTATATTAATTTAGGCTCTTACTATCCTGAGCACTTTAAATTTAATCCTTACAATACCCTTAATATGAGATAGGTCCTCTTATTATCACCATTTTACATATGGGGAAACAGAGGCATAAGGAGGCTACACTAACAAGTGGAAGAGCTGAGATTCAAAACCAGGCAGAGCCCTAGTTTTTAACTGTATGCTACATTGCTTGACTGGCAAGAAAAGAATGAACCTTTTTGTTGTTGCTTTTGTTAGATGCATTACTATATAGAAAATGTCTTGAGTAGATTTGTTCTTTGAGATTTCTTTTTTTAGTAGTATTCATTAAAGCCATATCAGCAGATCTTTTTCTAATAAGACATGGAAATAACTTCACTTAACAGAACCCTATATTAGAAGTGAATTTTAATTTTAGCTAATTCTTTTTAAAGGACTACTAGAATTTGAAAACAGACTACCAGGATTAAACTTTAAAATTGTGAATAAATGTCATTCTTTTAGCTTGCTACTATTTGAATCCTAAAAGCAAAATAGAACAGATCCTTATTAAAAATCCTATATCTTTTTCAGTAAGTTTGGGGTTTTTTTGTTTTGTTTTGTTTTGTTGTTTTGGCCGCGTCACACTGCTTGCGGAATCTTAGTTCCCTACCAGAGATCGAACCCAGGCCCCTGGCAGTGAAAGCACCCGAGTCCTAACCACTGGACCTCAAGGGAAGTCCCTTTGTCAGTAACTTTGATAAGTTGTAATTCTAATTAACGAGTTTAAAAAGAGGCAGGTTTAAAATGGGAAGTCTCAGAATAGTAAACTGCCTGATGTCCCACTTTAACCATTGTCAGACAAAGTATTCCTCTGTCTTAACCTGCCTCTCTTCATTCTGTGCTTAAAATGTCAAACATATTGGCACATAGTTTGAAGACAGGTTGGTATTTCTGGACCACTTACTAGAGAAGTTGAAAATTGGTACTACAGGTTTTATACTATTGAATCTTATGTCATATTAAAATGTAAATATTAACTCTGATTAGTTAAAATAAATATTGAATTACTGTATTTTAGTCAACATTTGAGTGCTTCCTCCATCCTATTCACTGGAGATACAAAGTATTTGCCTTCTCTCCATGTTAATTTTCATAATTTTAGGACAGAATGTCATCATTCAGACATTCTTAGGAAAAACGAAGTATGCTCTGGTTTCAATAGTTTTCATGTTTTTCTTTTTATCTAGATTCTCAGATGTTGGTTGTTTCTATGAAACCAGGCAGGAATTTAAATGCATTATGCTTTGAAAACTAAACCTGTTTCTGTTCTGTTTGATTGGCATTCACTGTTTTCTGCATTTCATTCTCTCACCTAATCTCTTCCTTCCTAATATGCTTACTAAAAATGAAGATTTAACATCAGAAGCTGAGCTCAGTAACTGATCAAAGGGAACTTTAAGATGCAGTCTTGTGGCGCAATTTGGGCTGTTAACCTGCTATCTAAAGGTGATGCTTCAAATGGCTTTTCTGTGCATGTGCATGGATTTTGTGAATGGTAGAGACTCTTAAAAGCTGTGCTGTGGTGTGTAATGTAAAGTGAATTTGTTCTTGATGAGTGCTGTCTGCCAGAAGATGGATTGACGAAAGGATCTTAATTTATAATACCACCCTTTGACGAATGGCTCTGATACTAAGTTTTTGCTAAAAAACACTTAAGATTATAAAAGTAAAAACACCCCTAAAGTTTCCTAAGAAGTTTTAAATAGGTTGATCTTTGTAGAGAATTGCTGCATTCTAGTTCTGATCAAAGGCAAGGGAATTCAGGCTAAATACATAGGCTTTGATTTCAGCTTCCTTTCTTCTGTTAAGTTTTCCTACTCCTTTCTGGTTCCAGAATCAATATTTCTTCTCTTGAAGTATTGCTTCTAATGATTTTGGATTCCCCATGATTTAGGCCACTACCAAATTGAGGAATTAACTGCCAATGTAAGTCATCTTAAATGCCATTTGGAACAAGGTGGGATATAAATTTAAAATGTTGCCATATCTAGTTATCTCCTTTTTTTAAATGAGGGTTTACCTTCTTTGTATATATTATCATCTGTTCCATAATACCTATTATGTCATGTGTTAGCTTGCTGTGGTTTCGTACTGAACTAATGCAGAGCTAACTAATCTTAATTTTTTTATGGAAGTTAACCCTCTAGTCAGCCTACTGTTTATTATAATGTTTGACTCCTAAATTTTGGATCTTTATGGGGACTATGAATACCATGGTTAAATGTTAGAAAATTGTTTGATTTCTACCCTTTGTTTCTTGCCCTTCTTTTTCTTCTTTCCTATAACCTGATCACCTCTCTCCCCGCCCTCCGCCCCCCAGCTTGGGCTTTCTTTTTGCTATTTTATTCAGTTAGTACTAATGTTGACAACCAAAACTCAAAAAAGAAATTGTTAAAGTTACTGTGTTCATATCCTGATACTTGTTTTCTATATTTATAGCAGCTTCTTAAGGGATATTTCAAATTCTTATTTCAAACATGCCATTTTTGAATGTGATATTTATCTGAAAAAATGTAGTAGTTAAAGATTATTAAACTCTTCAAAACTGACAGTCAGGGGTAAATCTAACTTTCTAGATGGAGTTCTTAATTGCATTAAAATCTACCACAAATTTGCTTAAGCATTTTATTATGAAATCTAATTTCTTCCCAGAGGGGCTGTTAATTTTGTTATGCAGAAGAGTTCTGTTGCAAATCAGAACCATTTCTTTCTTACTGTAGACCAGAAACAACCCTGGCCTAGATGTCTTTTTTTTTTTTTTTGCGGTACGCAGGCCTCTCACTGTTGTGGCCTCTCCCGTCGCGGAGCACAGGCTACGGATGCGCAGGCTCTTTTTAAAAAAGAGTGAAGAACGTAAAAAAAAATTTCTCTAGGTAAAACCTCATTCCATTTCAATCTACACATTCTTGGTGAAGGGTGAAGACAATAAGGATAAATGTACTTCACTGAAATAGCCTACACATGAAACTACTTTGAATCTTTGTATTTGCAAAATGCCTTAAAACTATTACTCAGTTCTTCTGATATATATAATGTATAATATACACATTAATGATATTTAACTACACTGAATAGATACTGAATATATCCACAAGAATAGGATTTGTATATTTATTATTTTACTGCAAGATAAAAGATCTGACACTTAGAGGAAATATTGATTTGCTCAGGGTCAGTTAGTGAGGCACCGGTGGAGAAAGTTAGCAATCAGATCCCCAGATGACTGCTTTTTAATTTTATTGTTATTTATTATTAATAATTACCTACACCTTCAATTTGATACGTTCCATACTCCTATGAGAAAGAGAGCAATAGAAAGCATCCCCATTCTATGGATTGGGAAACTAAGGCAAAAACTTAAATCATTTGCCCAAGGCTTTGAGGCATATAAACAGCAGAGGTGAGATCAGAACTGTTATTTTTCTCCTTTCAGTTGACATTGTTTTCATCTGTCCCTGCTTAAACTCCAACAGAATTTTTATATAGAGGCAACATTAATGCAACAATAAATTTACATCACAGAAAGTTGTCTATACATAATAAAAATGATTTTTATCCACCTTACTATATGTTATGGATCTAATTTCTTTCATAAAGTCATTATTTATAATTCCTAAGACACAATAGGCAAAAGGAATGTCTTTCTCTTAACCATTGCTACAATTCTTTAAAAGTAAAGGATTTTCGGGCTTCCTTGGTGGTGCAGTGGTTGAGAGTCTGCCTGCCGATGCAGGGGACACGGGTTCGTGCCCCAGTCCGGGAAGATCCCACATGCCATGGAGCGGCTGGGCCCGTGAGCCATGGCCGCTGAGCCTGCGCGTCCAGAGCCTGTGCTCCGCAACGGGAGAGGCCACAGCAGTGAGAGGCCCGCATACTAGGGAAAAAAAAAATTGCCTAATGCTTTACAGAACAATTTTACATCTATTATCAACAGCCCTGTGACTTATTAAGTACTGTTATCATCTTAGTTTTACATATAAGGAAAAGATGCTCAGAGATCGAAGTTTGCATAAGGTTCTGTAGCTACTGAATGACAGGTCTAGGATTGGGATTCAAGTCAATTTACTCTAAATCTTGTGGCTTAAAAAAAAAACCTTGTGTATACGTTCACTTCCTCCAGATTAATTCCTCAGTGTCCCAATATATAGTAATACTAAGGTGTACTACCATAGTAATCTAAAATATTCCTTCTACAACAGATTGGAAGTCTCTTAGAACAGTGTTTCTCTTCCTGGTTGGGCAGCTAAATGATCTATTGAATTTAAATAAAATCATAGTTACAACAGAAGATTCCCAGGCTCCATCAGACAAAAATTGAAGTAGAATTTTCAGAATGTAGCCTGAAATACACATCTGTGTATTCAGAATCATCCAGGTCACTTTGGTGCTCAGTCAAGTTTAGGAAATACTACCTTTTAAAGTACTTAAGACCCTTTGAAGGAAGACAAATTAGATTAAAACCATTGTTGTTTTTATTAGATACTCAGCTGTCTGACAATGCCCTTAAAAACAGTTGTCTTTAAGGGTTTTACAACTCAGTGGGAGAAGCTCCAGGGTAACAGCATGTGGCAGGACCTTGAGCAAGCAGAAGGCATTATTACCTGGAGTAGAGGTGCTGAAAGAGACATGGAACTATCACAAGGATGAAGATATGAAATCAACAGCATATAAAAATCACTGCTTTATAAACATGCAGAGCATGTCAAAACTGCATGAAAAAGTAGTGCAGAGATTTTTTCCCCAATCCATTTGAAAATAAATGTGACAATTCAAGTCAGCTTTTTGTACCTTTTCCCCTTGATATTGGAAGAACATCAAAGATCCAGTCCTCTTAAAGGGAGAAGGGTTTGATAACCAGTCTGATTCTTTATTTATAAACTATGCTTTAATTGAACCTCATTCACAATATCATGTTAAAACAATTCGTTTGCATCTTATGCCCCTTATATCTAATTGAAGGAAGAATTCTCAGAAGTTGAAGGAATTTCAAATATTATTTCTTAAGGTTGAGGAGGTTGGAGCATGTGTATATCCCTTACTAGACCAAGGGCCCACAAGTCTGTCCCAACCCAGTGCTTCTGTGCTAAGACTCTCAGAAGCACAGTGTCTTATTATTTAGTGACATTAGAATTCCAGCCTTCAATCTTTGACCTGTTTTACAGTCTAACATCCTGATAAAAGCCTCACTTATATTACTTCTATTAATATTTCTGGTTAACTTTCTGATAAACTTATATGTTGTTTATTTTGCTTGGTTGCTATTACTCTGCTTCAGAATTTTGCCAGAGACCCATCTTATTAACAAAGAATACACGTAAATGGGTTTTTTACTAAACAGAAATTATTTATAAATATTCATTTAAATAATGTGTATATCAGGGACTTCCCTGGTGATCCAGTGGTAAAGAATCTGCCTTCCAATGCAGGGGATGCGGGTTCGATCCCTGGTTAGGGAACTAAGATCCCACATGCCACGGGGCAATTAAGTGCACATCACAACTACTGAGCTCGTGTGCCTCAACTAGAGAAACCGCGTGCTGCAAACTACAGAGCCCACACACTCTGGAACCTGAGCGCCACAACTACAGAGCCCACGTGCCCTGGAGCCTGCGCTCCACAACTAGAGAAGAGAAAACCTGCACGCCACAACTAGAGAGAAGCCCGCGCATTGCAAGGAAAGCTCCCGCATGCCTCAACGAAGATCCTGTGTGTCGCAACTAAGACCCGATGCAACCAAAAAAAAAAAAGTAGTACTAAATAATGTGTATCCCACCTTGTTCCAGGAAGGATTTAACATGGCTTATTAATAACTAAATAGATTGATTTATTAAACATATAGTACCCTTTCTGTGGCATTGATGATTAAGGTCTAAGATCCAATTCTAGGTTTGCCAAACATGAATCCTCACAGGATCCTATTAAGAAAGGAGCCACTGCTTTCCTAAAATCTCTCCTTTGCTTTTGCGATTTCAAAACTTCCTCATTAATGTATCATGTGGAATAAATCAGAAACCAATGTTATAGCCATATACTACTTTGTTTTTGTTTATAGAAAAGCAAAAACTAAAATTGTGTGATTGGAAACTTTACCTAGCCAAATAATCAGTAAGAAAAAGTTTTATTTGTGTTTTTTGTAATAGCCACTTAAAAGTCATTTTACTAGGTTCTTTTTCTTGCCATTTATACCAGTTCAAATAGTAAATCCCACGGTAAAATTCTGGCTTTGGCTGATTTTTAGCTATGTCAGTTAATCTAAACATATGCTTCTATTTTTAAGAGGCTTGGATTTAGGATCATTTTTTTTTTTAAGGTGGAACAGTAAACTCTTAAATGAAAAAGTCCTAAACCAAAGGATTTGTAACTAGTACCATTGTAGCCAAAGAACTCATTCGTTGCCTTTCCTTCATAATGTTTGTTTCTTAAGAAACCTTTCTTTAAAAAAATTTTTTTATAATAACTTTTTTAAAATTTTATTTTTTTATACAGCAAGTTCTTATTAGTTATCCATTTTATACATATTAGAGTATATATGTCAATCCCAATCTCCCAATTCATCACATCACCACCACCCCCCAAAGAAACCTTTTCAAAAAAATTTAATGCACAATTCTAACTTTAAAAAACAGATCAGCTGAAACTACTACAGTTTAAGTAAGTGAGCAACTGAGGTCTAAGTACTGCCCACTCAGCCTTCTTTCTCTTCCATCCCTCATCAACATCTGAGATGCTTCCAAGGAACCATTAAGGCATCCCAGAGCACCTTTCCTAAGGAATTTTTTTCCTAGTGTCCATTAACCTCTTTTCTGGAGAGTGTCAGAGGCTAGGAGAACCTGAAAAATCAAATAATTACATTTTGGTACTTGCTAACTGCTCAGTGAAGATTTGGTGGTAGTAGTTTAACCTTTAAAAAAACGTTTTTAATGTCAGTGGGCTTACACAGTTCATCTTTTTCAATGCCAGATTGTGATGGAGCATAGTGTAGATAATCTAGATCTAGCTGCATGTAGCTTTTATTCTAAGGGTGCTAGGGCATCCCTAAGGTAACAAGCACTAATAATGTCATTTCTCCCTCTCCTGCTTTTTGGTATCTCTCTACACTCCTGACTCTTATATAGGACAAAGAACTTTGAGTCTAGTAAAGTCTATAAGGCAACATGGAGAGATGGTGGAGACAACTCTCCTAGCAATGTAGTATCTAAGCAGCCAGGCCGAGTGACAAATGGTCAGCCTCAGCAAGCAACCACAGGAGCAGCCAGCGGCGGATACATTAAACGGTATGCCAGCTCTTCCCAATATTTTTATTCTTTTCCTAAATGAATGGCTCTCTCTGGAGACTGGGTGTAATTATGCATGAACCCCAACTTATTAATTAGAAATAGCATTTATTCCTTTTTTTTTTTTTTGGATGTTTTTTTAATTTTTTTTTGGCCGCACAGCATGTGGGGGTGTGTGGGATCTTAGTTCCCCGACCAGGGATCGAACCCGTGCCTCCTGCAGTGGAAGCGGGGAGGCTTAACCACTGGACCACCAGCGAAGTCCCTTATTCCATTTTAATATTTGCCTTCTGACAAAATGGTGACTGGGATTGTTGACATTCAAGGATGGATTAACTTTTCTTTGTAAAGTACTTTCCAAATTATTCAAGTAATCATGTTTTACTTCTGTAAATAAGAAGATGTGTTTTAAAATGTATCATCTAGAGTAGGAGTCGACCAAATCCCTATAAGGATATCTGTAAAAGGTCAGATAGTAAATATTTCAGACTTTACAGGCCATACAGTCTCAGTCACAACTACTCAACTGCTCAAATCTGTTGTAGGGTAAAAGCAGCCATAAACAATATATAAACAAATGAGCATGGCTGTGTTCAAATAAAACCTTATTTATAAATTCAGAAGGCAGGCCAGATTTGGCTTTGGGCCAGGATTTTGCAACCCTTATTTTAGAGCAGTAGTTCTTTAGACCTAAGCATGCATCAGAATCACCTGGGAGGTTTATTAAAACACAGATCGCTGGGGTCCCTTCCAGTCTCTGATTGAGGAGATCTGGAGTGGAGTGTGAGAATTAGCATATTTTCATGTCTAACAAGTTCCCAGGTTATGCTGGGAATTACACTTTGAAAAACCACTATCCTAAAGTTATTTCTTAATCTTAAATGGCTTTAAGATGTTGTGCTCTCTTGGATTAGTCTTTCCATTTTTACTATGGAATGTTTCCCAAGAATGGTAACCTGCATCTGTTGGGTCCAACACTTGCTGAGGTCATTTTGGTTACTTATTTTTATAAAAACTAAATCCAGACTCACTCCATTTCTAATTCACCCCAAAGTACTGAATTAACTATCTTTTTGTGATAGTATAACAAATGATGCCAGGGAAGATGAAATGGAAGAGAACCTGACTCAAGTGGGCAGTATCCTAGGAAATCTAAAAAATATGGCCCTGGACATAGGCAATGAGATTGATGCTCAAAATCGACAAATAGAACGGATCACAGAAAAGGTAAGAGCTTTTTAGTGCCACAGGAAAATGAGACATCCGGTATAGTGTTTAGTGATAGACATCTGTGCTAGATGCTCTGGGGGAGAGCAATAGGGATAAGATCCTGTCCTCACAGGCCTTGCAGTTTTGATGAGTTCTAACACATTGAAAAACAATAGTCGAGTCCTCCTGTCTCTTACTCAACTGGTTCATTTTGAAACCAAGACCTTGGGACGAAGTGGTTTTATTTAAAATTTCACACATGAAGCTCACAATCTCCTCTAACCTTTCTGTGAGCTGTCGGGGTTTTTTTTTTTTGTTTTTTTGTTTTCCCCCTGAAAGAGCGAGTTAGCTTTTGGAATTTTATTTTGTTAACTAATAACAAATTAGTAAGTTCCTGAATCTTCATCTCATGAGTCAGTAGGTAAAAATCAGTTCTGCAGAATGGTTCTCATGGGGTGGACACACAAAAACAAGAGTAACAAAAAAGTGTGGTTGCTATTTGTTACTTCATATGATATAAAATATACTGAAATTGTGTTCTGTGTTTGGTTGTGTCACATCTAAAAGCTGTTCTTATTTATTGTTACTTCATTAAAATCTCAGTATACTTTAAAGGTTGGGGTAAGTTTTTCAGCTTGGCTTTCTGTTGAATCACTTATGATGGATTTCATTGAGGCAAATAATGGTTCATAAGATGTTTTCAATGCTGTTACGTGGGTTTAGGCTACATATTACCCATCATTTTAACTTACATATTGATATGGATGGTGATACATCTGTTCCACAGATCTTGGGGTAGGTTATTTCAGTCTCTGGGTGAGATCTAGGCTAGCTCCAGATGAGCTTCTATGATTCAGTTCAGGGGACTCCCACAAGGTCCAGATCTATAGCAGAGAAGAGCATTATATTTTCACTGCATCTACATGCCATTGATTATAAGATGCATCCTAGTTTCAGACATGTTAAACTATGAAAAAAAATGTTATAGAACTCATGAAATACTGGCAACTTCTTCTGTTATATCTTTGTCATGTTTATACACCCAGGTTTTTCCAAATGAATTTGATATTCTGTCACTTCTTGCCCAAAATGAGTTTTGTAATGTGGCTTGGACTATTTCCGGAATTTTCTCAATGTGTCAGTTACTCTAAGTACATGAAATTTAATGTTTATTAGAGCAGCTTATCTTGTGAAGTAATGCTGGTATATTTTTCTTTTTTCCAGGCTGACACCAACAAAGATCGTATTGACAATGCCAATGCCAGAGCAAAGAAACTCATTGACAGCTAAAGCTACTGCTGTACTTCTTTATCATTTATTCACTTCCCTAGCTCCTCCTTCAGTCATTACCTTTCCAGAGTTTGAAATTTTGGTTCCACACTCTTCTAATCGGGAGATGATGTGGAAGAAGATCTAGGAGTAACAGCCCCCCTATTCTTTTATTTTCTTTTTCCCTTGAGGGTAGACTGCAGCTTAGTTTTCCTTCTAGTACTTTCTTTCTCAGTCCATACTCTTAGGTTGGTTTTCATACATCATATATAATGTTATTTTTCATTCTCTCCATTTACTTAGCAAGTTCTTCTGCTTTGAAACTTTGGAAGCATTGCCAAAGACAGCCATGTCAAAGGCTGAGGGCAGTAGAGGCAGGCACAGGAGGAGAGGCAAGAGATAAGAGGTCGTTACCTCAGTAAAACCTGCAGACCCTAAAGCCAAAAGTTGCATAACCACAGTGAAGATCTAGGTGGGTTTAATTTCTGTTTAAGTTGCAGTTTTTGCCAGTTTAGGCCAATGCTTGGTTTTGGAGCCTGTATACACAATATTTTTGTTATACATCACAACTTTGCAACCTCTGCTTCAAATAACAGAATGAGTTTTCTTAAAGTGAGCTTAATTTCTGAACTCTTGGTGGTTCATCTATGTACATAGATTCTATGATCCCATTTCATATTGCACCATATAGGAACACATGGTATAAATGAATGGCTTTTTATTTTCATATTATTAATAGTATCATGGTCCCATTACAGGCCTATTAACCTCATAAATTTGTCATTAGTCTTTGAAGAAGAAATATGTAAATATGTATATATATTATGAGAATTTCTCTCTACAGCAGGGCTTAAAATTTTTTGGAAAAGTTTGACAAAGTATATCACGTGAATTCAGATTTACCTCAATGCCAAGAATTGTTTAGATAGGAAAAAAGAAACTTGTTTTGATCTCAGGTAGAAAATAGTTAGATTACTTTGAGTTTTATGTAGCTTTAAACTTTTTTAAAAACTAGAATTTATTCTGTTTAAAAATGATTTAGAAAATTATGTCTTTGGTTTACTTATTGATGATTGCACTATGATTCTCTTAGCTTTTTGGATTCAACTTCCAGAATCACATTTGCTTAGATCCTGAACAGTGTTATAAGAATCTGATTGGTATTTGTCACCTTTATTTAAAAACTAGCTTCTGCACACTTCAAAGCTATTAATGTCGATTGGTTTGACCAATAACCACTGTTTGATCCTTACAATTAAATTTTGTAACTAACTAATGGAACTGTTTTTTCAAATAAGTGATGTGCTTCTGTGAGTACTTTTTGGGGGGTGGAAAGCAATAATTTTGTCAGCTCTTATTTGACAAACTGAATAGAGCAAAGATCCATAAATCAAAAGGCACTCCAACAAACACCTGACTTTATTAGCACCTTTCCCATTTTCATTGGAAATATAGGACTTTTCATTGCTATGATTTGTCATAAGGTTCATTTTAATCATTACTAGTTGTTTTATTCATTTGAGCTTATAATACACTAGCGACTGAAAGTGTTTATGAGTGAAAACTGCAACGCACTTACTGGAGGAGATAGAGTTAACATGGGAACTTTCAAAGGCTGAAAAGGAAAATATTTATAGTGAGATTTAATTAGGCCCTCAGTAATAGAAATGCCACATGCCAAAAAGGAGTAGTTTGGCAGGTGGTAGTAAATGTGTGTGTATAATAAGAAGGTATAAAACACTGGGGGCTGTTCTATACTTAAATATCCTTCCTAAAAGCGTTAAAAAAAAATTTTAACACTATTATGGCTGAAGGAAATAGTTCTAAAGATACCAGTATGCTGTTCCAACAGTATAATTGGTTAGAAGTGTGAACTAAGGCACCATATTGTCTGGATTTACACTCTAGCTCTGCCACTTGCTGGCTGAGTGACTATAAAACCATTTCTGTGCCTCAGTTTCCTTGTGCGTAAAGTGGGATTAATGATTCCTACCTCATAGAGTTGCTGCGAAGACTTAATGTGGTAATGCATGTAAAGCACTTAGAGCAGTGCCCAGCAAACGTAAGAGCTTATTAAATGATAGCTGCTATTCTCTCTAGAGCGGAGCTCTTTTTGGGTCAAGGATCTCTTCATGAATTTGATGAAAGACAACACAGCCTATCTCTCCAGAGAAACAGACACACAAACACACACACGTGAATCATGCATAAATGGGTCTTGAAAGCCCATCCATGGATCCCAGGCTACATATTTTTTCAAAGCTTCTGCTACTGAGAAAAGAGGAATGAGGACGTAGAACTTAGGCTCATAATACACTAGAAATAGAAGCTGTTGACTTAAAAGTCTTCTCCTGTGACACTGTCTGGAAACTTGTTTCTATTACTTTTGAAAGGTAGTGACTGAGGTGGTTAGCACAAGCTCTGGAGTCTGACCAACTGTGTTCAAGTTTTGGTTCAATCATTTACTAGTTTTGTGACCTTGAGCATAAAACTGACCTATAATTAAGGAGTTAAACATTATTCTCCACTGAACTTAATTTTTTTTTAACAATAAGCTCCCTCTTCAGGTTTCTGGTCTTATGACAGTGATCTTTATCCCCTATAGTTGTGCCTGTTTTTTTCTTCTTTCACAGTTTTAATTCATCATTTGTTTACCACATTTCAACTCTAGATCTTTTCATGTCATGTATGGATTAGGAATCTCCCCTTAACTTAAATTTCTACTTCCCAGACATCCTATACTCAATTGCTCTTAGAATTAGTTTCTTTAAACGCTATTCTTTAGGTTACTCCCTTACTAAAACCCTAAGTTATCCTAGTTACATTCCTAAGCATACTTATAGTTCTCAGGTTGATATTCAGGTTCCTTATTCTCTACTCATTTGTTTTTCATCCTAATGTAGTGTTTGCTCCAAGCCTTCCATTTCTATACAACTTGCTAAATTCTATTTTAATGTTTTACAGGTAAAATAAATAGCACCATTTATTGAGCGCTTACTCTGTCATAGGCACTATTCTAAATGCTTTTATGTATATTTTCACCAAATCCTCATAACATACATGAGAGGTAGGAGGTGTTTCCCCATATTATGGATGAGAGTAAGTTGCTCAAAGTCATAAAGCTAGTAAATGATAGACTTTGGATTCAAATCAGGATCTTTCTGACTCCAAGGCCCATGTTCTTACTCAGTATACTACACTGACTTCTAACCAAGCTCTAAAAGAAGGTAGGTGATTTAGAATCTCAGTCTCCAGACCTCAAGTCAACCCACTTTATTAGCTCATATTTAAGTCTAAATACTTGTGTACTATATCTTTGGGCATATTACTTCACTTAATCCCTGCCCTCAAGTAGCTCAGTCTAGCAAGAGGCAGATGAATACAGAATGTGAGAAATGCTGCCGTAACAGATGGAGCAGTTAATTCGGCTTAGACTTCTCAGGAAGGGGCTTAGACAGAAAAGGAGCGTGTTAGTAAGAGAGGGCATTCTGACTGAGCAAACAATGTAAAGACAGTTAAAGGAGACAGACGTTGCACTGTGGGTTTAAGGAGCAGAATAACCTGGTAAGACTGGGCAAGTGAATGAGAGTGAAGAGAGGGTATCTGGAAACAAGGCTGGGTCCAAGTTGTGAAAGTTAGCCATCAAAACGGGATTCTCTTAAGGGTAGGGATTTTTAAAACTCCCATTAATAAATGTCTTGGGACATTTAAGTTATTTAATTTATAAGTTCTGATTTATTAGATAAGTATTGATAAAATAGAGAAATGTTCAGTAGATCAATAAGATTAAGCATTAAACAAAGTTTATAAAAAACAAAACTCAATTGGTAATGTAAACTGGCACCCCCATCCCTCCCCAGTTGAGAAACAGAGAATAACATGGGAAAAAGAGAACCCCTAGACCAGATTTAAGGTCAGAGAGACTTTCCTCATATAAACACTAGGCTCTTGTGATCTCTTGACGTAATGGTTAAACTAGGTTTGTAAAATGAGAACTAACAGTACATGGTAAATGACGGCCCCTTGGCTAAGACAAAACATCCGAAAACAGCAGAGTTGTAGCTTTCTAAATGTTCCTGCCAGTAACAGTCTGAAAAAAATCTACTTTTATAGCTTCAGTTTCTCTTAATAAGCATGGTTTCCAGTACCACAAAATGTTTATAAGTCACATGAAGGCATTTCAGTACTCTTGCAACCCGAACAAGAACATAAAACATTTCTTATCAGTTTACTTTCAAACAAAGGGCCATTTACAGGTTAAAGTTTCCCTGTCGTCTTACTTTAAAGGATTAACCTTTCTTCCAGCCATAGTTATTAAAAAATCTTTAGTATATTCTCTCATTCGGAGAATAAATTTGATAAACATAAGTTGTTGTAAAATACTGTAACAGTAGCTTTTTGATAGGTAATTTGATTATTAGAGTTCTAAATACAAAAAGATGACCAGAAATAAGAGACTGTTTCTAACAAAGCTTCAGGAAAATCTTGATTATTAAAACCCTTGTATCTTACAAGTTTTGCATACAGTTTTAGCTCTTCAGAGCCCTCTATCAATAAGGCACCTGCAATAGTAAAAAAAAAAAAAATTGCTACTGCAGCCTTGGGAACACCTCTTAGTGTTGTGTTGTTGCTTCTCTGACAAAGTACACTTTTAATCAAGAGTCATACCTTTATGTACATCCTAAATTCCAAGTATAAACATTGCAATTGAACTAATGGACTGGAGTAAAATCATAAATCCTTAGATTAACCATAGCAGCCTCTCATGAATTATTTGAATTTCATAAAAATATGAAGTGTCAACACAGGGTGGAATGGCAAATGATTTTCTGAAAGCTCGCACATTGAGACACATGAAATTTCAAGCTGTTGTGTGGAGCTATTCTGGTACCAGGCAGCATCCCCTCACTGTATACATAGCAACTAGCTACTGGGTTTCTCAAAGCCAAACAAATGATGGTTTCAAAGATCAACATTGTCCTTTGCCCTATCCATGACTCAAAATGGAAGAGTCTTCCTGTGTTTGATTCCCTTTAGCTTATTTGAGATGAGCCCTGGAAAGGAAAAAGATCATTGAGTGAAATATAACCTCCTGGAATATCATCTCCTCACTGCAGATATCCTTGACAACAACAGGAGCCTTTCATTCAGCCAGATTGCAACAGGTTCCAAGTCAGTGTCCTGTATGGTTCACATGCTCCTGGAGAACATCATGCAAACTTCTTCTTGGTGGCTGTGAACCTCTCCATGTACTGAAAATCATGAAAGAATACATGTGTTATTTTTCCCTGAGCAAATAACTAACTTATTGGTTATTTGGGATTTTATGATTTTTTTTCCTTTAGTTTTTTTTTTTTTTTCGGTACGCGGGCCTCTCACTGTTGTGGCCTCTCCCGTTGCGGAGCACAGGCTCTGGACGCGCAGGCTCAGCGGCCATGGCTCACGGGCCCAGCCGCTCCGCTGCATGTGGGATCTTCCCGGACCGGGGCACAAACCTGTGTCCCCTGCATCGGCAGGTGAACTCTCAACCACTGCGCCACCAGGGAAGCACATCCTTTAGGTTTTTATGGTCCTTCATTTCCTACAAAATCTACCTATTCTAGATGCAAATTTAAAGCACATGGTTTTGTGGGGTGTTTTTTTTCTTTCCTTTATATCTTAATAGGACACCTATCAAAAGAAAAAGATGCTTTACAATAAGCTGTCGAGAGAAAAATATCATCTTGGCACAATACCATTTGGCTGATTCTCAGAACCCACCTCCAAAATGGAGAACAAATCCTTACTGACATAAACGGATTATACATACGTCCCGTACCTAGGAACACTCGTGTGAGTTACTTCACCTTTCTCTTCTCTGGAGCAGTGACTAGAAATTCAGAAGTACACTAATACATACCTTATCATAGCCTTCCAGTTCTCGAAGTTTCTTTATTTCAAAAAGGTTGCCTTCTACAGCAAGCAGACAGATCTGGGAATCACTGAGGATGCTCTGTGGAAGCATACTGAGCTCAAGACAATTCTCCTCCAAACGAAGAACTTTAAGGCGAGGACAGCAAGATATCTTCACTGAGATCTGAGCTATCTATTGAACAATTTATAAAAGGGATAATAGGAAAAAGTATAAGCACTGTAATGATTATTTTTTACTAAATTAAAAAATCTTTACTTGACTATTTGTCCTAGTTCTTTCTTCTACCACCTCCATTTTCTCACTACCCACTCACTCCAGAAGCCTCTTGTGTTATCCAGCTTCTGTTACTACTACACTTTTTTGGGGAAAAAAAAACAAATCTTTTTTGAAGGTCACCAGTGGCTTTTTGGAAACACATTTTTCTGATAATAAAAGCGCTGTTCATTATAGAAAATTTGAGAATCATACGACGTTAGAGAAAAAAGTTACCTGTAATCCATCACTGTAAACATTTTGGTACAATTACTGCCAATCTTTTACGTGTACATAGATGCCAACCACTTTACTGCCAAAGTCAAGGATTCGTTGCCCTCATTCCCTGTTGCATTTGACTGTGCTATCCCTTTCTTGAAACTCCCACTTCTTGTACCTAAGTGCTGTGTTTTTCTTCCTATCTTTTGAATTATTCCTGATTTTTGGCTTCCCTTCTTGTTTGTATGGACATTTTTCAAACAGCAGTCCCTAATACTTAATATTCAATCTTTCTAAACTTTCTCCTAGAAAGCTCATTCATTCTCTTTTTTTTTTTCTTTTTTGCGGTACGCGGGCCTCTCACTGTTGTGGCCTCTCCTCTTGCGGAGCACAGGCTCCGGACGCGTAGGCTCAGCGGCCATGGCTCACAGGCCCAGCCGCTCCACGGCATGTGGGATCTTCCCGGACCGGGGCACGAACCCGTATCCCCTGCATCAGCAGGCGGACTCTCAACCACTGCGCCACCAGGGAAGCCGCCATTCATTCTTAAAGCTATCACTTCTTTTAAGCTATCTATCTACATTCATTTCTGCCCACCTCTATTCCACTCCTATGTCTCTGATTTTTAGTAAAACACATTGGATGTTTCACCGTCATAACCCACTCAGCATGCCCATTCCCAATAGCACCACTCTTCTTTTAGGCTCTTGAGCTCAATACCAAGCAGTTATCTTTGATTCATTCAGCTCTTCTGCCCTTTAAATGCTCCAAGCCACCTAGTTATATTTACTATGCCTGGTATCATCTCAGACCATCACCTGGGACCTTGTTAAAACTGCAAATTCTCAGACCCTACCCCAGACCTACAAAATCAGAAACAATGAGTGTGGAGCCCAGTGATCTCTTAACCAGCTCTCCAGGTTATTCTGATACACACTAAAACCTGAGAACCATGGATTTAAGGCAGCATAGGTGAATGTAGAGCAAGTGCTCAATTTGCTTAACAAGTTTTTTCCAATATTTTTCCCCAAATATTCAGAATTTTTTTCCAAAAAGCTCAAGAACATACAAGAATATCCACTTTAAGGAAAAGATAAAGCCAATCTCATCCAAGACTGACTGAATTTCATCATAACATAAGGTCAGGACATTCTATAACAGTTTTGTCCAATAAAACTTATTGCAACTAGTGGAATGTTCTATATCTGTGCTGTCCAATATGGTAGCCACTAGCCACATATGGCTGTATTGAGCCATACTTGAAATATGGCTAGTGCAACCGAGGAACTGAATTTTTAAGTCTAATTTAAATGAATTTTAATGGCCATGTGGCTAGTGGCTACTGTAATGGACTCTGCAGATCTAGAAGCGTAGACACTAGAAAAACTAAAGACTACCCAGTCTCACTATGATCAGTGTTTCATCATTTGTGCCTTATGTCTAGACCAAAGATTGTTTCTCCAGTCAGATATGTGTTAACCAAAGAGTTTCTGAAGTTATGGAAATAAATTTCAAATACTGCAATTAAAGCTGTCCAACAATCTCCAAAAATCCTACCACTGACGGTTTTTCCGCAAAAGCAGGACACACACTTGACAAAGATGTCAGCAAAAGGACAACTGAATGAACTCTGATGTCCAACTCTGAGAACATATGAGTTTAAGCCTCTTTTCCACTCTATCTTCCTGACATAGCTCCTTGCTAGATGATTAGAGGTATATTTGAGGATGATCTGAAGAACTCAAGGTTTGTGAAACAGAGGTTTAACTTTTGAAATTGCCTCACCATGTTACCCATCCTACCCTCCAAAAAACACCTACACAACAAACACACCCAGTGTCTCAACTAACTTCACGGCACTTTGGGCTTTGAAATTAGTCCAGCCCATAGAATATACCTCTCTTCTAGCCTCTGATACCCCTCTCCATGATTACAGTTTAGAGAACAATTGTTTATTCAGGAGACCGTAAACCCACATACATGCTGTAGAAAAAAACCCTTAAGCTCTAGACCTGGTTCTGGTTGAGGTTGAGTTCGATGACCTGCAGCTCCTGCACTGTGTCAGGTATGCTCCGAATTTGGTTCTTGGAGAGATCCACTACATCCAGGTGCCGTAGGTTACAAAGTTGGGATGGTAGTGCTCTCAGCTGGTTCCCAGAGAGGCTCAGGGTCTTAAGGGCAGATAGTTGCCCAAAAGTAGATGGCAGCTCTCTCAAGTGATTGTTGTTTAGGCTTAGTGTCTCTAGTTTTTTCAGATTGCATAACTCATCAGGAAGGACAGCTGGCAAAGAAAAATTTAAAAACCTGAATCCAACACAGCTGAAAAACACCTTTGATGAAGTTTATAAAAACTATATGGCAGTCTGTTATGCCTCTTGTTAATATACATAGGCATTTCACATGTTGTGCCATTTTTAAGTATTTCATTTTTACCAACATCGTCTTCAGAAGGTGAGGGTGCCATCAAAATTCAGGAAAGCATTATGTGTATAATAGGCTCCTTTTGTGAAGGGGCCACTGCACAATCCCACAGCAATTTTGTGGGATTTGGAAGGCCCTCTCCTTACCATCCCATCCGCCCTTCCAAATTAGCAGCAAAGTTAGCTCTGCTTACATTATACCCCAAAGATGGTCCCTTTCAAGTCCAAATTAACCTCCTACCAATCATTACACCAGGAGAGGAGGCTTATATATGTAATTACAAGAGATAGAAAGCTTCAAGGACTCTGACATTCTTCTGCATCTTGAGCTCCTGAACAGTTTCATAACAACAAAAATCAGCTTGTAAGAAAAAAAAAACACCCTTCTTTTTCTTTTTTAAGATTCTGATACATTTATTTGAAAACCAGTTTAATAACATTATAATCGTACTCCACACTCTATTCCAAGAGAAAAACCACCCTTCTTAACAGCTGATAACTAGCAAAATTCCCAGGCGCAAAAGCCATACTCAGTTTGTTGTTGTTCAAGGACAGGCTCTTCAGCAGAGTGAACTTCCCTATAATCATAGGCGGTAGACTCTCGATCTTGTTGTTGGACAAGTCGATGGTCCTGAGATTGCTTGTCAGCTTCTGCAACTCTGAGGGGAACTGAAGAAAGGGGCTCTCAGCGCGGAGAATCCCTTACCTATTAACTTCACCGCCCGCCGTCCCTCTCCCTTTAAATTCCCTTGGTCGGATCCCTCCCAGTCTCACCTCGGTCAGCCCACGGTCCTTAAGCTGAAAGACACCAGTTTTCTGCGCGGTTTCCACATGAGCGCGGAGGGCACTGTTTCCCATCCTAGCGCCAAGGCTCGGGTCTCTGCGGGAAGGAAGAGCAGCTGTCACCACTCGGCCCTGCACCCAGCCACCCCGTCGGCCTCCCGGCTAGGTCTCAAGCTCCAGCTGTCACCTCCTGCCGATCCCTGGATCTTGGGGGCCAGCTCAAGAGTGGCAAGGAAGAAAGGGAAGAACACCAGGCCCCACCGCTTTTGCAGCTGTTCCAAGGCTAGACGCCGCTAGGAGCCTACAGAGGATCAGGGATCCCCGAACTCGCCTCCTACCCCTCCGCTCACAGCCGGCTCCGCAGGGGAGGACCCGGGACCCGCGCTCGCCTGGGATGCGCTCCCTAGGCTTCCGCCGGGTCGGAAACGCCCTGTGACGTCATCGAGCCGCGCGGTGCGTTCCGCTCACTCTCCGCGCCACCCGGAAAGGCGGCTGCCAGCCATGGCTGAGGCGAAAGCTTGGGACCCGGCGTCCGAGCCAAACGCTGCGGGGCTACTGCTGGGACATTTCGTAGCTTCGGGCTTGGTTACTCAGGTGCGTGGTGGGCGATGCCGTCATTAAGGGGGTGCCCACGGTGGCGACAGAAGATAGCTGTGAGGTGGTGGTGCTGGCTGCGGGAGTGGGTGGGAGGGTGCTGGCTGGGGGCTGTTCTAGAGTCGGGGCCGATGGAGCTCCTTGTAGGCAGCAGAAGTGACTGGTCCGCGGTGGGTTCTGCAAAAGCGGGGCTCTAAGGAGATGGTGTTTCAAGTGTCTGGCAGGCGAGTTATCCCAGGTCAGTTCTTGGGCGGTAATAAAGACTAGTGTTACCCGCCTTTTTTCATCCAGTGATACCGCCTCTAGATTGTAATCGGTGGCGGGGTTGGGAAATAACGGGTAGGTGGTTAAAACATACGTTCCCAAAGAACGCTCGTTTGTGTGAAATATTGAAGCATTACGGGAGGCGCCGGGTACAGGAGAGCGCCAAGGGAAGCACGCATCTTTAAAGGCCGGGGGGGGAACAAAAAAACATTGGTGAAAAAGACCCGAGAGACCTTGGAACATGATTGGAGGAAGGAATTAATTTTGAGAAGGAGAGAAGAGGGAGATTAGCCAAGGGGTGGTAGTTTTAGGTTCGGCGGGAAGAGCATGTTCATAGGCCAAAGGGAACAAGCCAACAGAGGGAGAAATTGAAGATGTGAGGGAATAATGGAATAGAAATGGCAGATGTGACAAGGGAATGGGAGAAGGTTGAGAGAAGGGAAAGAAAATTTGAGACAATGAGGAAGTTGAGGAATTTCACTAAAAAGGCAACTGAGAAAAATAGAAAAGGTAAAACCATCTACAGAGATTAGCACTATGCACATGATGAAAGATTTATGAAAAATAGACAACTTTTTATACCTAGAAGAGTCATTAGAGAATTCTACTATCTACTTACAGTAATTTTAGGATGCAGAAACTAAGACCTGAGGAGACTAAGAAACGTGTCCAGGGCCACTCAACTAGTGAAGTAGAGTTAGATCCCAGAGCTCTCCCTTTTCTGACACATTATATCATCTCTAAAATGAACTGTAATAGATGATAGATACTGTAACACTATCTTGAAAGAGTTTAAACGTCTGTTGAAGGACTTTTCTAGATTACTTGAAGACCTAGTAGCCAGACCTTATGGATTTGGGGGGAAACAAGGGGTAGGAATGAATGCACTGGAAAATAGGCAAAACATAACCACAGCACTCCCCAGTTCTCACCTTCCTCACTTCTCTCCTGTGTTTTCTTGCTACCAGATTACCTAGTGCTCTCACCTGTATTGTCCAGTTCTGTAACAAAGTAATTTGGTAAATTCATACTATAAGACATTTGGGACTGAGAATTGGGCTGCGAGTTGTCTGTGGGACGATCTTCATAGTGTCCTTCAAGTAACACTAATTAGACAGATACCTGTTTTGTCAATCCATAGCTCCATAAGACCTTGTTATAGGGACTTCCTTGGTGGTGCAGTGGTTAAGAATCCGCCTGCCAATGCAGGGGACACGGGTTCGACCCCTGGTCTGGGAAGATCCCACATGCCATGGAGCAACTAAGCCCGTGAGCCACAACTACTGAGCCCAGGTGCCACAACTACTGAAGCCCGTGCACCTAGAGCCCATGCTCCGCAACAAGAGAAGCCAGAGCAATGAGAAGCCCGCACACCCCATCGAAGAGTAGACCCCGCTCGCCGCAACTAGAGAAAGCCCGTGCACAGCAACAAAGACCCAATGCAGCCATAAAAAAATAAATAAATAAATAAATGTTTTTTAAAAAGACCTTCTTATAATCTTACTGCACAGCTAGGCCCAGTGAGGAAACTTTGAAGATTTGTAGCATGATTTTACTTTAAGCAAACTTTACATATAAAAAACCTATTTTTATTACAAGGATTTATCATTGATTCTTTCAAAATGATGTATTATGTGATCCCTTTAAGCAGTCCATCCCTTAAGTGCACATCCTCCCATGTGAATTAAAAATTGAGTGATGCTTAAAATTGTGATGTGATATGATACAACTCTTATAGAAAATGTTGTTTGTTTCAGCTTTGTTCTTTTTTTAAAAAATATTTATTTATTTAGGCTCCCTTGGGTCTTAGTTGCAGCACACGGGATCTTTAGTTGAGGCATGCAAACTCTTAGTTGTGGCATGCATGCGGGATCTAGTTCCCTGACCAGGGATCAAACCCAGGCCCCCTGCATTGGGAGCACGAAGTCTTACCCACTGGACCACCAGGGAAGTCCCAGGTACTGAGCATTTATAATGTTTAGTTCTTTCTGTCTGGAATACCTTTTCCTTCCCAACCATCATGAGCTTGTTAAGGGCAGAGAGCTTGTTTCGTTCATCCTTGAATCTTCTGTTGCCTAACTCAATAAATGTTATAAAATTGATTATCATCAGTCAGCAAACATTTGCTACGAAGGGCCAGAGCATAAGTATTTGAGGCTTTTAGGTCCATAGGGTCGCAACTAGGCTGTTGTAGTATGAAAACAACATGAGATAATAAGTAAATGAACGAGTGAAGTTGAATTTCAATAAAACTTTATTTCTGGACCCTGAAATTTGAATTTCGTATAATTTTCATGTGTCACAATGTTTTTCTTTTGATTTTTTTCTCCAACAATTAAGAAATATAAAAACCATTCTTAGCCCTTAAGCTATACAAAAACAGGCGATGGGTGCATTTAGTTCATAGGCTGTAGCTTCCCAATCCTTGGCCTATATGATATCTGAAGTTCTTTCCTGTGCTAACATTCTAGAGAAGAAAAAGAGGATAGAAAAAATTATAGATGAAGCCAAGGGATGAACAAGATAATATTCTTATTCTGAGATAACCTGCAATTTAAGAAAGCAGTATAATATAGAATGAAAGGATAAAAAGGAGGTGGAGGGTAGCCTTTTTCAAGGAATAATTATGCCTGGACAAAACATTCCTTTATCTAAGAGAGGGAGAATGCGGAAAGAGACAGTATGAATGACTTGTAACCAATAGAGGTCATTTAATGAATCAGGTGAATGATTCCATAGCCCAGGAAGTGTTTAATTTTAGCCCCAGGAAGGTCTGAGAGACTAGGTCATTTGTGTAGAAGTGATTCTCCAACAATTTCAACTTTAGAATTTTTTGGTAAGCTATCAGCAATGCCAGTCTATTGTGCATGATGCCTTAAGAAATAGTACAAAGTGATTTTCTTCTTTGTTTTTCTTATTTTTAAAATATTAATATTTGGGCAAAAGATTTGTGATGGTGCAGGTTTTAAAAAACAGGAAATATACATTGCACTGTCCTACTCTGTATTTCATTTTTCAGGGGCAGCGTTGGACATAATATATCCTCATATTTTAGACACGTGGCCATGCTATTCCAACACACACACAAACTCTGACGTATTGCTGCTTTCTCTGTTCACTTACCAATAGGAGATGTTAAATATATCTAAGAAATCAACTTCTTGCTTTGTGAACTTCTCCAGACTACAGCAGATCACAGATATTCAAGCTGAAATCTACCAGGTAAATTATGTTGGAGTTTTTACTTTCTACCTCTAGTATGGAAAAAAATCTTAACTGGCTCCAACAGTAATCCTCTTGCACGCAGGACAGTGTCTATCTAGCACATAGTCGTATAGGCTTTTCTTTGCAGTAGTTAATAATAGTCATAATGGTCATAGTAGTAGTTAGGAGTAGTAGCAGTAGCAGCAACAGGGCTTGAACACCAAAATGAAAAGATTCAGTAAATCCCTGGGCTCTCATAACAAATCATCCTCCTGGTCCCCTTAAATATTCCTGAGTTAAAGACTGTCCATTTTTATCAAAGCCTTTACTTCAGGCTACTTTCTGCATGAGCTAAGTGTTTTTTTGTTTCTAATGTAGAAAAACCTGGAAATTGAACTCCTAAGACTAGAAAAAGATGCAGCAGATGTTGTCCATCCTTCCTTTTTGGGTAAGTGGTTTAGTTAAATGAGTAATCATTGAAATTTCAACTTTTTCTTGGATTACTTTAAGCACTAGGCTATAAAATTATGATAATTTTTCCAGGTATTGCCCCAAAGCTAACAAAGTCAGTAGAGCTTAAAAGACAAAGGCTGAGGAACTTTCCAGATGAAAGGATCCTAAAGAGACATGACAGCTAAAGCACAGGGTAGTCATGGATTGAATATTTGATTAGAAAAATGTTTTTTTAAAATAAATGACATTATTGGGATATTTGGTGATGTTTAAATATAGGCTGTATTAAATATTGGTAGTATTGTACTAATGTTAAATTATCTGAATTTGATACTTGTAGTATAGTTATATAAGAGAATGTTCCTATTTTGGGAAATACATGCTGAAGTTTTAGGAGTAAAAGGTCCTGACATCTGCAACTTACTCTCAAATTGGTTAGCAAAAATATATGTATGGGCGTGTAGAGAAGAAGGGGAAAAAAAGAAAACGTATCCAAATGTTAGTTGGTGAGTCTAGGGGAAATGTATATGAGAGTTCAATCAATGAGCTATTCTTGAAACTTTCAAGTTTCAAATTTTTTCTAAATAAAAATTTAAAAGAAGAGACAACTGACAACCATTAACAATTCTGGGGAAAATATTGAAATAAAAGTAGCTTATAAGACAAATGCTTGTTTTTTAATGCTCTAATATAGAATATTAGAGACAGACACTTTATGTGAAGAATATGGCTCTGGCTATAAACACTGAACTAGGAGTAGAATTGGGAAACAAAGAATTTAGCACTAGATTGGGTTGTCAGTAGGAAAAGTAAGAGAAAATAGTTGAAAATGAAACTGGTATTGGTATTAAAGAGAGCAAAGGGGAGATATTTAGGAGAGAAATGGTGGGATTAATTTTTGACCATTGATAGTATTAGTGACTTCAAAACTTGTCCTGTTGCTAATTATAATTACTGTTTCTGGTTTGTGTAGCACAGAAGTGTCATACTCTGCAAAGCATGAATAATCATTTGGAAGCGGTGCTAAAAGAAAAACGGTCCCTCAGGCAAAGACTGTTGAAACCCATGTGCCAAGAAAACTTGCCTATTGAAGCTGTTTATCACAGGTTAGACTAAAAAGTAGACGTTAACAGTCACACATGTTCCCTGAGGGTAGTTTTTGTTTAGACTAATAGTTATTTCATAGCATAATCCATTAAACAGTATATGAGTGATTGTATCTATTAATATTGTTATTAATGCTGATACATTAAACCAGAAAGAAAATCCTTTACTTTTTTTTTTTTTTTTTTTTTTTGCGTTACGCGGGCCTCTCACTGTTGTGGCCTCTCCCATTGCGGAGCACAGGCTCCGGACGCGCAGGCTCAGCGGCCATGGCTCACGGGCCCAGCCGCTCCACGGCATGTGGGATCTTCCCGGACCGGGGCACGAACCCGTGTCCCCTGC